TTTTTTTTTTCAATTGATGAATTTTTTTTTCAATTGATGAATTTTTACAACATTAGCATCTTTCATAATTTAAAACACTTAAAAGCAATTAGGTTAGAGGCATCGACTAAGTCTACATGGGAGACACACAGCAGCCCATGTGATACATGGATTGTAACTAATATAATCAAAACTGAAGGGAGAAACGGTAGCAGAGCTAAAATTGGGAACTCCTGATTGGCAGAGGTTATGGACAACAGTGGAAGCCCAGAATCCATTCGCAGGGTCCACACATGGATTAAACCTTAGTTGTATCCCCTCTGACCATAGTTGAAGGATGTGAACGGCTTTATTAACTGATAGTGAGCATTGTAACACTGATTACAGTTAGGTTAAAATGTAATATCTTATCAGTTGATCTCATTTTGACCCATTGAAAATTTGTTCCAGTTTTTACTATTTCCTACTTTGTTTTCAGTTGAGGTTTTTCTGTTTTACTTTGTTATTGTTGCTATTTTTTCCTGTTTTTGCTATTTTTTCTGTTTTTTTACTGTAAAGACAGTAACTTGATTAATGGTTGCTTGGGGATATGGCAGAGGAAGTTGAAGGCAAATGGAGAACTAAGAACAATGAGTTTTAAAAAAAAGAAGAAAATGTTCTAAAATTGATTGTGATGATTGTACAGCTCTTCTTGACGTGATTTAATTATTAAATTGTATGATATGTGGATGATATGCCAATAACAGTTTTGAAAAGAATACATAAATAAAAATGCACCCCCGCAAAAGCCAATAAGTTAGAATTTAACATATTTAATAAGTACCTGTGCTGACAAACTTTAGGTAGAAGCTAATTAGTGGCTGTTACGTACATATTTTAGATTATTAAACTTTCACAAGTTACAGTTCCTGTACTTTCAGGGGATCAACAGTAATGAAAAGAAAATACTCTCTCTTTCCTATTCCGCAATATGAAAAGGACAATGATGACCGGGGTCGTAAAGGTAATGAGCAGCCATCTGAGGTGCAACTATCAGTCTCTTCCCATGAAGGGGAAAGAAGCCTGATGGAACTGGAAAGACGCATGGAAGCAATGCTTCCAGAGGACCAAATGGATCACACAAACATCAATCTCCACAACTCCGAGACCAGAAGGGCTAGATGGTACCCAACTACCAATAGTAACTGCTCTGACAAAGATCGTACTAGAAAGTCCTGGATAAGGAGAGAAACAAATATGGAATAATACTCAAAATCATACAAGCGATCAAGCTTATTTGCCAGATAGAGACTGGTGCGACCCCCTAAGATGATCAGCCTTAGTTAATCTAAAGATCCTGAACTGAACTCACCCCTGTGAGAATAATCAACCATCTACTATCAAAAGGGCAGCACATACCCAAGGGCAAAGCACAAAGGCTTAGGAGAGACGGAGGAACAGAAGTAGGAAACATTCAGAGGTAGGATACTCCATGGTACATGGAAGGGATTGCAATGTGTGTAAACTGTGGAATGTAAAACAAATAACTGCTCTAACTTCACCTAAAGCACAGTAGAGAAATTTTGAAAAATGAAAACAAAAAGGCCCTGCGGAGACTTCCACACAAATACTCCAAGAGGATCTTAAACATAGTTTTTCTGTGAAAGAGGTAGACTGGGATCCAAGCATTTTTGAGGCAGACTGGAATCCAAGTCAGCGAGCTAGCTCGCTTAATTCATGCTCAGGGTTGGGCACAGACAGGCATGTGCTATGGGACTGTCTTCCGTGACTGTCTTCCGTCACCATGATCTTGATACATACATACTCACCCCTTCCTCATTATTGTCCTTACAAAACACATCAATCCTTCCCATCACACCCCTCCCTGTCTTAGACCAAAAACTATTATACTGGAAAGGCTGGGAAATACATTCACAGGAATGTCTAAACAATGACTTAACATTGTTGTTAAGCAGGTTTTCTTTTTCACAGGCTAGTGTGGTACTTACATAATCTGGTGTCAACTTGAGACAATTAAGAGTAAAGGGGTGGAGTCTAGCCTTTCAATCAGGTTAACAGCTTGATAAATAGCTCACTGGAGGCCAGACGCACACTCTCTCCTTTTGAGGCATTCTTGTTGATAAGCCACATGGAGCTCCATGAATGGAGCCAAAGTCATGGAGCTGGAGGAGCCATAAGACTTTCCAACCACTGGTGTGTGAGCTTCCTGCATTCAGTGTCATTGCACGTGTAGTATGGGTCTGAAGAGGAACTTACAGACTGATATCAGACAGATGGGCTAATATTGGACTTATGGACTTGATCTGGACCGGGCTGGGATGTTTTCTCAATATATATTTGCTTTTTTGTATGTGAAGCTCTTTTTCATGCACACATGAGCCTCTCTGGACTAACCAACTAGCAAGAGAAAGAAGCCCTTGTGAGGAAATTCCATGTATCCAACTGAATTCGGAGGTATAGGGAGGCACTGGAGCTGCCGATCTCTCTATTCATGGCATTTTCTGGTGTGGCCTAGGCATATCGGGAGCTTTCAGACTTACGGGTGATGGTATATGTCAGGATCCCTCTGGAGTCGAGTCTGGAACCCTATATACAGGTCATCCCAGAGTAGACCATTCTTCACCACATGTCTCATTACATCCACCCTGCTCCAGATCTGAAACAGACACAGAACAACATGCAGTAGTGCCCCAGGAAGTGTGGAGGACCTCATGCCCCATGGCCTGGGAGAAGAAACATGGGGGAAGGAGTCTGCCGGAGCAGACATCACAGGCTGAGGGAGGAAGGAGGGACTCTGTGCAGGATAAATTGGGGGAAGGAACACAGAAGGCAGATCAAGAGCTGGCAGAATGTAACGACCAAGTCCAAGACTAGGGTCAGATCACATGTTCAAATCCAAGCTCTAGCATGTGATCTTGGTGACCATATTAAGGCTCAGTTTGATGGTCTATAAAATGAAAATAATGATAGCAAATTCTTCATAAGAGTGTGTGTTAGAAGGATAGCAAAGTCCTCATAAGAGTGTTGGAAGGATTAAAACAGTCAATGTATCTAAAATACTTATAATTATGTCTCGTATATATTTGACTTTCAAGAAATGGTCAATTTCTTCTTCTTCCTCTCCTCCACCAGCACCAGCACCATCATCATCATCAGAGCAGCATATCATTAGCATCATGATTCTCTTCAAAGTGGAATGTTTGTTTCCTTTCTGAACAGTCGCTGGAAAAGCAGGGTCTTCTAGTTTGTGGCAATCTGTTGTGTTCCAGATCTTCTATAAAGCAGGATTAATCTAGATCAGTTGGCCAAGGCTTTTCTTTAAAGAACCTCTACCTCTGATACTGCGCTGTGAAATAACACAGAATTTGGAGTCAAGCAGAGATGGTTAAGAGTCCCAACTTCGCTCTCACTTTTTACGACCGTAAACTTGCTAAGCCTTGGCTTTTTTATATAGGACTGTTGAGAGAGAGGAGAGATCATTGATGTGAAGTGACATGAAAAGAAGGTTTTCTAAGACTGCATGTGGTTTTAAGAATTCGTCAGTACCCAATGTTAAAGTGTTACCAGGAACTTTTTAAGTATATGGGATCACATTCCCGACCTACCCTGAAAACTATTCTGTTAATCAAGCCCTGGTGCCACTGTCAGGTAAGCAGTGGACTGATAAGCACAAGGTCAGTGGTTCAAAATCACCAATCCCTCTGAGGGAGAAAGTTGAGGCTATCTCTTCTCATAAAGATGTATTAACTTGCAAATCCTATATCAATCAGAATGGACTCAAAGACGGTGGGTTTGGTTTGGGTTTTTTATTCCGCTAATCAGGGAGATTTCATCTTATTTGGAGTCACAATCCATGCTCATGGAATCATCAGTCAAGAGATCGAACGATGTATATGCTACATAAGACCTCTTGAAAGGTTTGAAAAGCAGGGATGTTACTTTGAGGACTAAGGTGTGTCTAATCCAATTCATGGTCTTTTCAATCACCTCATACACTTTAGAAAGTTGGACATTGAACAAGGGAGACCCATGAAAACTCAATGCCTTTGAATTATGATACTGGTAAAGAATGGTTAAGGTACCAGGGACTGCCAATCGAACAAACAAATCTGTCTTGGAAAAAGTGTAGCCTGAAGGCAAGAATGGCAAAACTTCATCTCCTGTATTTTAGCCATGTTGTCAGGAAAAGTCAGTCCCTAGAGAAGGGAGCCACGCTTCATAACGTGGAGGGGCCATGAAAAAAAGGAAGACCCTCTGCTTCTGTGTCCGGTGGCTGCCACAATGGACTCCACCATCAGAACAATTATAAGGATGGCGAGGGACCAGGTGGTTTTCCTCCACTGTACGCAGGGTCATCATGAGCCAGATCTGACTTGATGGCACCTAACAGCAACAATGGTGGAGAGGCAAGTTTACATAAATGACCTGCTATCCAATGAAACGGAAAGAACTGATCTGCCTTTTCAAATTATTTCCTTTTCCTGTACTATTCCAATGAAAGCACCCATTGTGGACAAAGACAGCAAACAAAAGTCAGAGGATCCAGCCCTTTGTCAATAGAGACTTAAGATCATGATTCCACTTGCTTGGTTGAGGAATGCCCCGCTAGTCTGCGCTGTCAAGTTCTTGTCCTCACAGTAGAGGGAGATTGACTTTTCTGACCTTACAATCTGGAGAAGAGTCCACACAGAAGGTGGACAGATTTGAGAAATAGTCAAGGTGTCAAATGTGAAGACCTTGATAAGTGATACAATTTCAGGACGAGGTCTCTTGCCCCTCCTAACTGACCTTAATGGCGGTATGAATGGCCAGTAGCCACGCCAGCAAAAGAGGAGTCGTTTTAGAGAAGAGGATAATGAGTTGGATTCTGAACAAGTTGAATGAGGTGTCACACATTGACCCCAGCGCGCGGTAATGTTGGTGGAAGGCAGGGAGAGAGGTCTGGGATGAATTGCTGGGGCTGGGAGTCATCATCAGAGAAGTGGCCTTAGCAGATACGTGCACCCAGGAGGAGATCTGAGAAGAATGGACTGAGCAGAGACCCTTGGTAGAAACCAAGTCTGTTAAGTAATAGGTGAAGTGAACAAGAAAGGCCCGAAGAATGCAGAGTAATCAGGAAGTGAGGAAAAGCCAGGGCCCGTTGCCATGGAAACAAAGGGGAGACGACCCTCTGGTTCAACATGATGGTAAATTGCACGTATAACATATCTTCTCAACACTTCCCGATCCAGCTAGAATGCTGACAAAACAGAAGAGAATGCCACAACGAAGAAAACACAAAGGGAATTGTTGGCAAGCACAAGAGTTCAACTAGTTTTGAGACTCTGGAAAGCAGATAGATAAATACCAAGCAATGAACCAGGGTAGAGGCAACTAGAATCTCTGAGTCTAAGGAGCAGTGGTCAAACCTGGAGGTGTCACGGAGGACAGAGTAACAGAGGAACGCACAAGACACGGTTAGCCCTTCCTGATACCTCTTCTTAAGGAGCCCTGGTGGGATTGTCAAGTACGTATTGCACTGCTAACCCCAAGATCAATGGTTCAAATACACCAGTCTCTCTGAGGGAGCAAGATGAAGCTATCTGTTCCTGTAAAGATTTACAGCCTCTGAAATTCTCTCTACGGTCCTGTGAGTTGGAATTTACCTGATAGCAATGAGTTGGGGAGGGGTGGGAGTGGAGGTGGTGGGGGTGGGTTTGTTTGGTTGTTAGGTTTTTATCACTCTGCCTGGCTTCTGAATAAATGAAGTAACACGGTTCTCTAAATGAATGAAAGTCATTTGGGGGGAATAACTAGGGGAAGTCATATAGTGGGGGACTTCAGACCAAGATCAAGATTTTGGCACCTAGGGATCCCTCAGTCTAAGAGTCGGCTCCTCACCTTTAAAATATAAGCCAACTGGTGACTCTTTTGTCAAATAGAGCCTTTAGCTCTTTTTTCATATAGCCTAAGTTCTTTTTCCACCAGCTATCTGTCAGTTTGTTGTACTGTGATGGCTTACACCTTGCTAAGATGCTGGAAGCTATTCCACCAATATTTGCAATACCAGTCAGACCACTCATGGTGAACAGGATTCGGCAGAGCTTCCAGAAAAAGCCTACAGGGGGAAGGCCTGGTGACCCACTTCCATAAATTAGCCAATGAAAACCTAAAGGATGACAACTGAACACTGTCCAACTCACTTGTTTGGACATGTCCCTAGGAAGCACCATTTCCTAGAGGACGTTACTGTGAAATGTGGAGAGCCGTGGAGACCCTCAGTGAGACGGATTGGCACACTAGCCCCAACGATGGACTTGACTCTTTCGCTGGTCAGGATAACACAAAACCAGACAACGTTTGGTTCTGTTGTACCTCAGGCTGCCATCAGTCAGAGCTGGCTTGATGGCAGCTAAGAACAGCACCACAACACTTTCTTAAAATTGAATGAGCTTTTGACATTTATAAATCTGGATATTGCAGGTGAAAACCCAGAAGCCTAAATGCTCTCAAAAATTAAGGAAAACAGTTGGGTATGAGTAGAAGCCCTTCTGACGGGCATTTACTTTCCACTTGACACCATCCCCAATCAGTTCCACATATTTACAACATGCCTTGGGCTAGAGGTAACCCTGTTGTCAGTAAAGCCCACTGACTAACAGCCCTATGCATGTTCACAGAACCTGTTCCATAATTTCATATCAACTTGAAGATATGTAAAAGGGCAAGGGTGGTATCCAACCTGTCAATCAGGTCACATATGATGGTACCTCCTTGTGGCCATTGCCTTCTCATAAGGAGGACCCAGGAAGCCTCCCTCTCTCTCTCTACCTTCATCTTCCTACTTTCTGGCCACTCCGAGAGCCACCGGAGCCTGCCATGTTCACTGATCTTGGATCAACATGATTTTGCAATCACTGACCTGTGATATTCCCGCATTCTGTATAATTGCATGTAACTGCATGAGTATGAAGAGGGACGTATGGACTAGTATCGGACTTATGAACTTGAGTTGGACTGGACTGGATTATTTTCTTGATATAAAGCTCTTTCTTACATATATATGAGTGTCTCCAGATTTGTCAACCTGGCTAACACAGAACCTTAAATTGGTTTCTAAAGCTCTTTGCATTGGGCAGTGTGAAATAACTCCTTAATTCTTACTCTTCCACAGAGGGAGAAGGATCATCCCAGCATCTTGTCTTAGGAGAAAGATGGTGTGAAACTAGAAACCAAAGTAGAAATGCCTTTGAGTATCTCAGAAAAGAACTACCCCCCTTGAATGATAAACTCAACTTATCAAGCAGCACGAGACAGCAAAGCCTTTCGTGTTTAACTCCCATGCACCCTGTCTGAGGAAGTGACTTAAGGAGAAATCCCACAACTAAATAAAGCAAGGAAGGGGAAGTCATGTGTGAGTTTGGGGAGCATGATAGGAAATCCCAAGTGAGAGACGTGCAGTTGACTGAGAGAGGAGCTACCAAGAGCAGAGCAGAAAGGTGGAGAGCTACAAGAACCCCCCATCTAGGAGTGATGCAGAGTTAGTGCTTAAATGGGAGCCTGAAGGCAAATAATGCCCCCCAAGCCCCCAAAAGGTAAGGCAGTGTGAGATGTCTCTGGGTAGCAAGAAGAGGAGGTCTTCTAAGTACAGGCACAGTTCTCTTTGTGCAAAGCCTT